CTCAGAAGGAAGATGGGGCAATCTACTTCCATAGTGATACTGCCTCGGAAACCCAAAGAGGGGTCACTATGAGTTGGGTCCGACTCGACAGCATATCACAACAACAACAATGGGAGAGGAAAGGTGCCCTGATGGTGCAGTGTTCAGTGGTCGGTTAAGGGAGCAGTTTGAACCCACCAGCCACTCCACAGAAGGAAAAGGCAGTCTGCTTCCATAAAGATTACAGCCTTAGAAACCCTATGGGGCAGCCTACCTTGTCCTACAGGAGCGATGTGAGCTGGAATCAACTTGACAGCAGTGAGTTCAGTGAGATAGGAGCTAGGTGGTAAACAGGGAAGGCTTCCTGGAAGAAGTGACACTGAAACAGCCTCTATAAAGCAGAGAAACGTGCAGGACACGGAGGCTCAGCGAGAGGTGGAGCCAATGCCACAACGGACTAACTGTGGAGCTCTGGGGCTGCAGGTGGGTGAGCTGGGACGGGGCTAAGGCAAGAGGAAGCCAGAAGGCAAGTGCGTGGCCTCCCAGGCGCTCTGTGGTTCTGGGCAGATATCTGCGGGGAGCCACATGCTCGTCCGGCAGTGCCTGGCACAGAGCCAGACGCCATCCCTGTGTCCTTCGGAGCCCAGTGCAGAAGCAGACATGCTGAGTCCCGTGGCCCAGAGGCGGACATGCACTAGGCCCTCTGTGCCTGGCGACTGGGGAGCTGCGGAGGCCGCCCTCCCCCCTGTGGCTCACTCTCTGCTCATCTCGCCCAGCACGGCCTCAGAGCTGAGGGGCCCCTCTGCTGCCCGTCCCAGGTTCTCCACCACCCGAGGGAGACTGCAATGGCCACAGACCCTTCCCGTAGCTGTAGGCCCCCACTTTACAATGCACTTGACTGTTCCTCCCAGCAAGAGCGGCTGTCTGTCTCTCTGCTGGGTTGGGCTGGGCTGGGCCATGCACGGGCCCACAGAACACGAGCACATGGCATCTGGGAGTTCCAGGGCTGGGCCCTAAGAGGCCTTCCATGGCTGCTCTCTCTCTTGGACCCTGAGGACACTGTCTGAAGAACTTGGGGGCCGTGAAGACAAAAGACCTCTGGGAGAGAGAATAGCCTCCTGCCAGCCAGCACCAACCACCAGACTTGGGGGGAGGCCATCTCAGCCCGGCCAGACACCAGACATCTGCAGAAGACCCGCCCAGCTGAGCCCAGACACCAGACATCTGCAGAAGACCCGCCCAGCTGAGCCCAG